CCCCCTAGAGGAGGTGAGGTTTGCTCCCCACTCGTAAAAAATAGCACTTTACCCCTGCCTATATGCCGTGAGCTGATTATCGAGCCTTCATTGTAACAGTCGCGGGTGTACTGTGTGTTTGCGTGTGGGGAGTGCTTTTGTGCGTGCTCTATAGTGCCCGTAATAGTGTTCACTGGAGTCCAGCACCTCAGCACCCCCACTCAAAATACCTTCCCGCGCCTCTGGTTGTCACGATACCAACATTTTGGTTTCGATACCAAGTCAAGAATTGCGATTCCGATTCTTTTTCGATACTTTTCTTAAAAAAAGGGAAACAGTTTTAAATGTAATTATTGTGCTTTATTTCACACCATAACCATAACACAAACGTTTAAACAATGAGAACAATAAATAAAATAAATTACAATAATTCGTATTAAATAAAATTAATTAATTAATTAATTAATTTCTTACAGACAGGTCTCGTGGTGTCCGTAGGCTTGCCCTCACTGTCAGAGATATAGCTAAAATACTTCCACATTTCGCTTCTGGCGTCTTTTTTGTCAACAAGCCGAGGCGCAGCGGCAGTTGTACTCCCACTTGCAGCCATGCTTCTCGTTTTCTCACATGCTCTGGCAGTTAGCGCGTGCACGAGAGAGGGGAGGGACTTAGAACGTGCTTGAGAGGGGCGGGACTGCAGGCACGGCTGCAGTGCAGGGAGTGGAAGCAGAGCGCTGAACACACACGGCTCTTGTAAAAACGGCGCTTTCTCACCGGAGTACTTTCCCCCGTCATTCTTAAAGTACAGATACTAATGAAACGGAGGAATCGTAACGTTTTTAACGGCAGGGTATCTCGGTACCTTTCAAGTATCGGTACACCGTGCAACACTATAGTCAGGAGTCACGGAGCGTCCACACAGCAGCGTGCGTTAACGCTTGGAGGTGGGCGTATCTGAAGCTTGGGGATTTTTTGCGAGCAACACGACCAACAACCAATCACATGAATCTCCCGCCCCCGACATACAAAGCAATAGCAATGTTAAAACGAAGTAAACTGGATATAAAATCCCCAAACAGGCAAAAACCTACCAGTTTCACCCACTGTCTCTGCCTCCTCCCTCCATGCCTCGCTCCTCCGGTTTGTATCCCGGTAGATCAACAGAGACTGATCATACAGCACCGGGTGATTCACTACCGCTATAATGAATTTTCCCTCAATTTTTTTGAATATGAGGAAATGACCTGCGTAGTCTCTCCCAGCATACACGCGGTTTGATTGGCTAGCGCTTGTACTGGCAGATTTGCATAAACGGGATTTCATTGGCTGACGCCTCCGTCGAGGCGTCAAAAGTTGAACATTGCTCAACTTTTGACGCCAGCAACGCTCCACGTCGCTTCCCAAAATGCAGTTCGGCTAAAAGTGACGTCACCCCATTCAAAGTGAATGGGCAGAAGCGTTGGAAGCTTCAACGCACGCCGCTGTGTGGACGGGCCGTCAGTGTCTCTCCCCCAAACTCACACATATACAATTCGATATGAACTGAAGAGCCGCATGAAACTAGGCAAAGAGCCGCATGCGGCTCGAGAGGTGCGGGTTGGCCACCCCACATGAATTCAATTTTGGGAAACATATCAAATCTGCTTTATAGGAATATCAACATCTTAGGAAATAAACTTCACTTTCTTGTAAAGGTGAAATAAATATCAATATTAGTTCTGGGTCAGGTCTTATCAGAGTTACACCGCAGGTACCAGGACCTGTCCTCACAAATACGGCTACCTATTCTATAGCTGGAGACCGTGCACACAAATACTGGGCAGAGTAGTGTTTATGTAAAGAAATGCTTTCAACACATCATTTCCTCTAGAGCCTCGAACAATACTTTTCTGTTGCATACACATTTGAAACAAAGAAATACAATGTAATCATATGCGAGCTTGAGGTGTGTTGGGAAGTTTATTATGGCTTTGGGTGTAGCCAGGCTAGCAGTTTACACCTTCCTCAGGTCTTAATGCTAAGCTAGGCTGTCAACCTCCTCACTCCAGCTCTACACACATAATATTGATCTTGTCATCTCAGTTATGAAAGAAGCAAATATAAGCATTTCCTAAACTGTTGAGCTGTTCTGTTTAGGTGGTAATTGGGCGCCGTACATAATGGCAGCCCACTGCTCCTAACACTAGGATGGGTCAAATGCAGAGAAACCGTTTCGTTACATAGTACCTGTACTACGTAATGACAATAAGTTGAATCTTCTTCTTCTTCAATCTTCTTCAAATGCATACCTAGTTATCTCAGGCAAGAAAGTCTCTGCTTATTTCTTAACGCAAAAGAATGGAATGAAAACCAAGAGGAAAAAAACTAATTCTGAATTGTATTTTGCAATATTATAAGCTCTAAAAGGGTTAAAACATGCACAAAAAGGACCAGCAGCTGTGGACAGCCCATCAAAAGTTCCCCACCCTTTGGCTGTTGCTGCTGTTGAAAATTGCCTAGACAAATGGTCTGCGGAGGTCTAGATGTGAAGAGAAGACAGTTTGAAGAAGAACATTTAGCTTGCTTCAAAACTTGCCTAGGCAATCCACTGAACTTCAACATAATCCGAGAGGCTCAGAGAGGAGCAGCAGGAGGCTGGTGCCTCCCTGGGCAGCTCCCAGTGTCACTGTAGTCAGGCTGGAGCTGAAACAGCACAAAAGGCCATTTTCCCAGGAGACATGAGGGTGAAATAACATAAACTGTGGTGACGTGCAGTGTCATACCAGTTTTACTGCTGTAGCTCTTATCTGAGGTGGAAAACTCACAACAGAGGTCAATTATCCACGCCTTTGTAGCAACGAGTGTGTACATCATCTAGACATGTTCTGTGTGGGAAAACAGAATGTCACTAAGTACATTTACTCAAGTACTCTACTTAAGTACAATTGTACTTGTACTTTACTTAAGTTTAGAGAGAGAGAGAAAGAGAGAGAGAGATAGAGAGAGAGAGAGAGGATAGAGATAGAGAGAGAGAGAGAGAGAGAAGAGAGAGCGAGATATAAGAGAGAGATAGAGATATAGAGAGCGATAGAGATAGTCTCTATCGCGCTCTCTCGCTATATCGCTCTCTCTAGAGAAGAGAGAGAGAGAGAGAGGAAGAAGAGAAAATAGATGAGAGAGAGAAGAACCGGTACCGGAGATCGCTGTTGTTAGCTTCTGGTGCTAGCAAGCTAGTGGCCGGTTCTCAAACGTTTTGGTCACAATTAATGTAAACAATTATTTCCGAGGCTCCCGTTTATATGATCATTATAGTTATAAAAAATGAGAGAATAAATGAAAAACAGGTATGAAATACTATATGACAGTAAAAAAAGAATACAGTTTAAAAGGGTGATTTGTAAAATATCCACAAAGAAAAAGTAAATCTGTTTACAGTTCTGTTTCATCTGGGTGTTGAGAGATGTATCCATAGATCTCTTCATGTTGCTCTGAAAGTGCACCAGATTGATGCTTTCAACTTCAATATTTAAAAAAAATCTTCCCGGGGGAGCTTGCCCCCGGACCCCCCTATGTGAGGTCCACACACCACTTATAAAAATAGCACTTTACCCCTGCTTACACCTATATGCCATGAGCTGATTATCGAGCCTTCATTGTAACTGTTGCGGGAACACTGTGTATTTGCGTGGGGATTGTTGCAGTAGAAAATTCCACTGTAGCGCCCGGTACATTAATGGGAAACCCTAAATGTTTGCGCAACTCTATGAAATGTCAAGCTACCCCACAGCACCCCCAAAATAAATCTCTGGCACCGCCACTGAGCCTGCAACCCCGTTTTGAAGAAATGTGCAGTGCCAAACAGGCTCATTGCAGCCACTAATGATAAGACACACTTTTTTGCCAAATATCAGCATTTTCTTTCTTTTCATTTTTTTTGCACAGATTGCAAAGTATTATAACTTATTGTTCTAGCAAAGGGATTGCACAATTGTATTATGTATTTTTTTTTTCTGACCACACAGACTTATGGAGCATTGTTTTATTATCACTGATCTAGCAAAGGAATGCTCACGTTCATATTGATGTATTTTAATAAATGTTAACTTGGCCCATTACGTGACTATTTGTGTTGGGGGGGGCCCGACTTTTTTTTTTCTCCAAAGAGGGGTCCTGACAGAAAAAGTTTGAGAACCACTGCTATAACCCCAGAACACCATCCCCCCCGTCAGCATGTAGGTGAAAACATTCTGCTTTGGGGTGTTTCTCTGCTAAGGGGACAGGAGAACTTCCCTGCATCGAGGAGGGTGGACGCCGGGGACATGTACCGTAACATCTTGGCCGACAGCCTCCTTCCCTCAGCCAGGACTCTGAACATGGGTCATGGAGGGGTCTTCCAGCAGGACAATGACCCTGAACATACGGCCAAGGCAACACAGGAGTGGCTAAAGAAGAAGCACATTGAGGTGATGGAGGGGCCTAGCCAGTCTCCAGACCTTAATCCCATAGAAAGTTTGTGGAGGGAGCTGAAGCTTCCAGATGCCAAGCATCAGCCTCAACACCTGAAGGATGTGGAGAGGATCTTCAGAGAGGAGTGGACCAACATCCTTCCTGAGATGTGCACAGACCTGGAGACCAACTACAAGAAGCGTCTGACCTCTGTCCACCAAGATCTAACACATGTTCTGCAAGGGGGTCAAATACTTATTTCCTCCACTGTATATATTATTGTATATATATTATTCTGAAATGGACCAATCTGCAGTACTTTTGCTACTTTAAGTATATTTTATCGCCAATACTTTTGTACTTTAACTTGAGTAACATTTTGAATGCAGGACTTTTTCTTTTAATAGAGTATTCCTACACTCTGGTACAGATTTAGTAGGCCTACTTCTCCCACCTCTGAGTGTCAACTATTGAAATTAGGGGGGGGGGGGGGCATTTGTGTCAGAGAGTATGCTAGTGAAAGCAGAGTGTGTTGGTTGCATGCAACAGAGGTGTTAGTGCTTCAAAACAAGGAAGTTGAGAGTGTTTCCAAATACCTGGATGACTGAATGGCAAAGTCCCCCCCATCAATCAGCCGGATCTTGCAGAAAAGCACTCCATTGACAAAAGGCACCGCTGTTAGCTCCTCCAATGTAAAGTGCACTTGAAATTTGAACTTCTTCTTTCTTGTCAAAAAAGACATTGTTCCCAGCTGGAGTGTGCTCCTGGTATGATGAACACCAATGGAAGAGTTAGGAACAAATAAATATACTGAACGTGGCTTTAAAGTAAGGGCTGGAAATCCCTCTTTGCTTCAAGGTCAGTCATCTCTGGAAACATGTTCAGACCTGGAATGGGAAATAAAAACACTTGTTAGAGTTATACAAGCAGCTGAATGCAGCTCCATTGGGAACTTCGTGTTACGGTTTCTACAGCAATGACAGATGTGGACATTAAATGTACCCTGGATGTTTCTATCCCACGTAGTAGATTTTAAAAAAACACATCCTATGTAATGCTTTAGTTTGATTTATGAATATAAGGTTTTTCAACAGTTTGAAACTCTTTCTGTGTTTCCTCCAGCAGTAACAGTGTCTCGCGGTTCAGACAGCTGCCACGCGAACACGCAGCGCCGGGGCGGCTCTCCGCGGGCTGAGTGCCGGGGAAACTTCTCTGACTCACCGCTCCGTCTGTCCGGTGCTCCGCATTCTGGTTTTGGCTGTGTACCGTTGGCGGGGTTTTTGACCCTTTCATCGGTTTCAGTTCATCTTCCACAACTTTCCCTCCCCGGTAGAGAGTTCAACAGTCAGACAGGCTGTAAAACAACTCAGAGTTAGGGACCGTCCACAAAGTGTACACACTGTGCAGAGGTGCATAGCTGAAAATGGAGGCAGTGGTGGAATGTAGGGAAGTACATTTAGGCTACTTAAGTATTGAAGGCTGCTTAAGGAAAATGTTATGGTTCTTGTACTTAACCTGAGTATTTTCTTTTTATGTGTTATGCTTTATACTACGTCTACACTATATTTAGGAAGCCAATATTTATCTTTTCAATATTTTATTGAGTTTCTCCTTTCCTAGAACCCAGAACAATATGCACAACATCTACTTTGCACAATTCTAGTGTATATAATATAACGTCAATATGTTTCTGTATATTCTAAATATTTCTGTTGCCTATTGGAATTGTATATGTAGAGCATTCAAATGTATTAAGTATTTTCTTTATCTTCTTTATACTCTATTTATTTTTCTATTGTCATTTTGTGCTGTTCAGGTTAATTTTTTGTTTTATTATACTTGTATCTTGTTCTATCTTTTAACCTGTTCTACACCGCCCCCCCGATACCGGGGGGGAAAACGCATCATCTGCAGGAAACAGCGTCTGAGGGCATCTTAATATTCAATAAACTATGAATGTGTTATGTCCATGTAACGGGAAGAAACTCAGCTAACTGATCTTTTTTTTTTTTTTAAACCCACAAAGCTAACGCTCTGCCTCTGAATTTGCCACGAGCGGAATAACACCCTTATTACTTATCTTATCTGCACATCCAACCCATCGATTAGCATCGTGAGATGACACAGAATCAATAGGTACATACATCATCACTCTATGATAAGAACTCGCGAAAATATCAACAAGAACAGACATCAAAACATGTGGCGCTAGGTAGCTAAAAACGGCAAAATGGCTTACCTTTGTCGTTGTCTGGTCAAAGTGGTCTTCAATGGCATTAAAACAATAAAACCGCTGCTGAAGGTTAATCCATAGGTTAATCCAATGTGTCTGTGTCACTTTGAAATGATTGAAATGGTACATTTGTAGGGGACAGTGTTGGGTGTAACGCGTTACAAAAGTAACGGAGTGACAGTAATATATTACTATATTATTATTATTAAATGGTGTTTTGTTTTTTAAGAATGTACTAACATAGCAAGGCAAGGCAAGTTTATTTATATAGCACCTTTCAACACAAGGCAATTCAAAGTGCTTTACAAAAAACGAAAGACATTAAGAAAATGGCATTTAAAATCAGTCATTAAAAAGAAAAGATAATAAAAGAAACATTAAAAGAAAAATACATGGATAAAAGTTACAGTGCAGTTTAAGATGTGAATAGTTCAATTAAAAGCAGCGACAAAAAGAAAAGTCTTCAGCCTGGATTTAAAAGTAGTCAGAGTTGCAGCGGACCTGCAGGTTTCTGGGAGTTTGTTCCAGATATTTGGAGCATAATAACTGAACGCTGCTTCTCCATGTTTAGTTCTGACTCTGGGGACAGAAAGCTGAACAGTCCCTGAAGACCTGAGAGATCTGGATGGTTCATCATTTAGCAGGAGGTCAGAAATGTATTTTGGGCCTAAACCATTCAGTGCTTTATAAACCAGCAGCAGTATTTTGAAATCTATTCTTTGACACACAGGAAGCCAGTGTAAAGACTTCAGAACAGGAGTGATGTGATCCATTTTCTTAGTGTCAGTGAGGACTCGAGCAGCGGCGTTCTGAATCAGCTGCAGCTTTCTAATAGATTTTTTAGTGAGACCTGCAAAGACACCATTACAGTAGTCCAGTCTACTGAAGATAAAAGCATGGACAAGTTTTTCCAAATCCTGCTGTGACATTAGTCTTTTAATCCTAGATATATTCTTTAGGTCAGGGGTGGGGAACCGCGTTGAAAGGAGCCAGTTGAGGTGGTTCGGGCACGTAGTTAGGATGCCACCTGGGCGCCTCCCTAGGGAGGTGTTCCAGGCACGTCCAGCTGGAAAGAGACCAAGGGGTAGACCTAGGACCAGGTGGAGGGATTATATCTCTTCGCTGGCCTGGGAGCGCCTTGGGATCCCCCAGTCAGAGCTGGTTGATGTGGCCAGGGAAAAGAACTTTGGGGCTCTCTGCTGGAACTGCTACCCCCGTGACCCGACCACGGATAAGCGGGAGAAGATGGATGGATGGATGGTGTTCATACAGTCATGTTACTTGTTAGACGCTTTTATCCAAAGCGACTTACATACTCAATACTGTGGACAATCCCCACATAGCCATTTTTGTCTTTTATTCCTCACTTTATCTGCTGTAATCATGTAAATTACCCTGTGGAGAGACACATAAAAGATTTCTGATCTCATTCCATTATTCACCCAACTGCTAGCTGATAAAGCTATCAATAGACCCATGGCGTTCACTAAACTTCTCTAGGGGACTGCTAGCTTTTTCCTATGACATAGGAGAGATACACAGTACTTTTGAACTGGATACAACAGGAAATGGATAAAATACAAAGCCGGAAATTGGGAAAGAAATTGGGAAATGAACAATGGGAAATTACAATGTGCTCTCTACATTTGACTATTCTCATTTTTGTTTACTTTCAATTACAGAATCATATTATAGAAAGGATGTGGCCAGAGGTAAACAACAGGGTAAACTACCCTCTGAAAGGCGCACTCAACCACCTTGTTGACCAGGAGGAACTAAACCTCGAAGACAACATCACACGATATTGTGTGTCCACTCTTACCTGTCAGGTAGCCAAAATGGGACTTGACCGGATGGTGCAGTACTGGAATGCACACAGAATCCAAGGTTTGTATAGCAGTTTTCAGAATGTTACTTAAGCCCCATAACAAATGACCTTCTTTATGCATTTTTATAAGTTGTACTTATATCCTACATTTGTTTCTCTCTGTATCCCTTTTTTACACTAGGTGGATGGAAATGTTTAAATGTGGCATGTATATATTACAATATTTCAATAATTGTCTGAGTAAAGACATATCTACTATCTAGTTTATAGATTGCTCTTATTGCATGAAACATATATATCTGGTAAGTACATAAACAGTCAAATTAAAAACATACTTTTTAAAGTTTGTAAGAAGTGTACTAATAGCACAAGTACCATTTTTTGTAAGGGCAGGCTATGGTTACACGCTGTGTGAGGTTCATTGATATGCATGATATGTAACATTACACTAACAATGGCTACTTATTTGTGTTTTTTTTAAGGTAAGGGTATCCCAGATCAACTTGCTCATGGTGGGTGCCCAAAGAGACTGCCTGCAGATATTTTTGCCTGAAGCTACAGATGCTGCAGACGGCTATCATCAGGAAGTGGGGTCCTCTCTGACACGAGTGTCGCTGTTTGGGAGAAACCCATTTGCCACTGTGGAGCACCAGACAGCAGCTGAACAAGAATTTGCAAGGAACAATGCGGACATTGCTGAACTCTTTGAGCGTGCCATTCATAACGAGCCAGCACCATTCCAAAACGGGATAAAGGATCTCATAGGCATTGTAAGAAGATATGTGTAAAGGCAAGTGCAGGGATCAGGAGCCAGTGTATACCCAGGTTGCTGGACTGTCTGCAGAACTGGATGCTTTAAGGGCCCTACCCTAAAGTGGACAGCAGTTCAGTCGTTTATTGTTAAGTTTATTGTTAAATGGTGTGTGTTCAAATTCCAGGTTCCATGATATCATCATACAGAAAATTATTGTTGTAGTTTTCTTTAGCTGTATGACTTGTTAATTGTTCATCTGCAATGTTTAATAAATGGAAAATTGTTTGAATGTGTGTCCATGGTATGTTTAATTATGTTTCTAAACACAGGCAAATAGCTCCATACGTAAGGCAATACAATCAAACACTATTATTTGATCATCCACGCACCAACAGAACATTTGGAAATCAACCATTAATCAGAGGTTGTCGAAGTAATCAGATCTTGTACTTCAGTAAAAGTAGAAGTACTCAGATCTTGTACTTGAGTAAAAGTAAAAGTACTCAGATCTTGTACTTGAGTAAAAGTAAAAGTACTCAGATCTTGTACTTGAGTAAAAGTAGAAGTAATCAGATCTTGTACTTCAGTAAAAGTAGAGGTACTCAGATCTTGTACCTGAGTAAAAGTACTCAGGTCTTGTACTTGAGTAAAAGTAGAAGTACTCAGATCTTGTACTTGAGTAAAAGTAGAAGTACTCAGATCTTGTACTTGAGTAAAAGGAGAAGTACCAGAGTGTAGGAATACTCTGTTACAGTAAAAGTCCTGCATTCAAAATGTTCCTCAAGTGAAAGAAATGTTCATTCAAATTTTCAGAGAAAAGTATTCTCATCAAAATATAGTGAAAGTAGCAACAGTAAAAGTAGTCGTTGTGCAGATTGGTCCATTTCAGAATAATATATATGATATGTTTTATAATGATTGATCATGAAAGTGTTCTCAAAGCTGGTAAAGGTGCAGCTAGTTTGAATGACTTTGTATACTGCAGGGTAGCTTGTGGATTTACTCCAGGTGGAACTAAAGTCTGATTTAAGTGTTGATTACATTTCACATCATTCATCCAAATCTGTGAAGTTACTAAAGGTTTTAAATACATGTAGAGGAGTAAAAGTGGCTACGCTTTAAACTCTAAAATATAGTTACAGAAAGACAGACAGACAGACATCGAGATGGAAAGACATCGAGACAGACATATACATAGAAAGAAAGACAGACATACGGACAGAATGTCTTCTGTACTTGTATGTATGAATATAATAATATACGTATATTTGTAACGTAGTCTAAAGGCAAAGACGTAGAACCTTTATTTTTGAAGAGTACAGCGCAAGCACACTAGCCAATCAGAAGCAAGGAGGCGCTGGAGACGCACCCACTTATGGAAACGAAACATTGAGTGGTATACTTGTTTTAACAGTAAGAACAGAAAAACGAAAAAACGAGCTGAATTTCCGTTTTTTCGGTTTGGGGCAAAATTGAAAAACCAAAAAACGACCCGTTTCTGCTTTTTTAATTTTTTTTAATTAGAACGAAAAAACAAACGGTTAAAATGTACCTTCGTCCATTACCATAGCATGGTCATTTATGTCGTGTTTCTGTATACCTGTCATGTATAGGCTACTTATCTCATTGCAACTGTAAAACAATGTATTTTTCTTGTGTGTTACAGTTTTACAATAAAGAATATAAGAATATTCAGGAGCTTCAGTAATCTCCAATTCAGAATCTCGTTCTCCTGGAATTATTTGAAGTTCATGTTTATGCTGACTGAATAGCTAGATTCCAGGAACATCTAGTGAGATCAGTACAGTTAAATTTTTCAGAAGGTTCGGTTTGCGTTCACACGGGCAAAACTCAAACGGACTATAAACTTTAAACACAAGTCATGTGCACGGAAATGCTGTTCAACCATTGGTCAGCAGAGTTGGGTGTAACGCGTTACAAAGTAACGCGATACTGTAATAATATTACTTTTGTCGGTAACGGTAATACAGTAATCACACTACAGTTACTAACATTGCCCCGACACGCGTTACTTCGTTACTTTTATAAAATAATCACACTCACTGACAGACTAGAGGGGTTTCCGCCGCAGGTTTACATGTAGGCCTATGTAATATGCGCGACTTGCGAGACCACATCTCCACGTGCAGTGCTGCATAAACATGGATGAGTCTTTTCATCTGTAAACTCCCTCAACGGGGCCGCTCGCTCTCTTTTGTTGATCACCCTCTCACGGGTGAACAGTTCAATGTCCCGCTTCATTGTAGGAATTCTGCCATGTCTCTACCACTTTAGTTTGACCATCTCTGTTACTAAGTTATGGAATACTAAATAAATAAGTAATTAGATACCTTACCGTTACTGCGCTCATAAAGAATGATAAGAATAATGCGTCTTGAACTGGTTTCATTCATTAGTGTCTTGACGTTTCACAGACTGTTAGTTTGTTGTGGTAGGCTGGTAGCCTATTTTAGAGCATATAAAAAGAAAGACTTGTGTTATGTCTTCCTTAATGCAATAGTAATTGGGGGTGCAAGTGGAGTCTCGCAGAGGCAAAACTGTGGCGCACTTACACTGTAGGTGCGCCGCAGTCTGCGTGATCTGCCTGTAGGGGCGGGCCGACCCTGCGAGTAAAGTAACGAGTAAAGTAACGAGTTACTTTATGTAGAGAGTAACGAAGTAGTGTAATATATTACTTTTTTTTAAAGTAATATGTAATATTTAATTTATTACTTTTTTTTTAGTAACGACCCCATCTCTGTTGGTCAGACCTTAAGAGGGTAAAACCGCAAATCCCGGCCATTTCTACCGGAGCCTCTGCACTTTCGTCAGGTTATTCTCATGCTGCTGTTACTCTGGAGATAAACAGACTCTAGTGGCCCGCGCATATGATTACATAATCAGACAACGTCCGTTAAAAAACATTATAACACATATAATGAGAGACGTTCTGCAGTAAGGAGGAGGTTTCACAGACGACAGGTGGCTCTGACTTTTATGTATAGTCAGTGGTGCTTGAATTGGAATAAAAAAGGTGCCAGTACTCTAAATCAGCAACTGTTTCAAGTCAATTTATTTATACAGCCCAAAAACAAGTATTTGGCTCAAAGTCATAGTATGACCCCCCCCCCCCCGATCAGGCCAGGGCATGTCGGGCAGGTCCGGTGCTCTAGGAGTGGTTCCATGCTTGTTTTTTATCTCTCTTCTCTTTCACATCTTTGCTCAGTGTTTCACTTCCGCTCGCTGAAGAGAAAGGGATGACAGTCAGGAGGCGAGGCTTCCTTTTATACGGTGAGATGCGCGCGCGCATTCAGGTAGGCCCGCCCCGGGGCCGGCTACGTCGATAGAAGTCTCAGTAGGTGAATGCTTGCATGATAAGGTAGTACCCATATAGTCCAGTAGAGGGCGGAGCCTGTGAGAGATATAACCAATGTGATTTTGGAACATTGAACAATGAAAATCTATTCCAATAGACCTCAACAATGGAATTATGATAAAAATGGCCAAAAGATGGGACCTTTAAACTATACTGCTGTAGTGATGAAACCTGTTTACACACACTGACCCCTCCTGGCTGCTAAGTAGCAATGCACCCCAGAGACAAAACACAGGCAGATGATTTTTATTCAAGTTTTTCTTCAGTTCTGAAGACACAGTGCACACTACCTGAAGACCCCTGCCATCTCTGGTGTGGAGAACAGGACTGGTTATTCTTTATTCAGGGTGAACTGCAGGGTGACTGGATCAAACTAAGGATTCCATGTTACTGATAACCGTCTGCATCTCTGCATTAAAAAACACACTCAATTAAATGTCTCAAATAACATAAACTCTGCTAGTTAAAGACAGTTAAAATTCTGTACATGCTCACCGCAAAAGCAAATTTTGACACGTTTTTTATTTGTGTACACACACACACACACACACACACACACACACACACACACACACACACACACACACACAGAGTCTATTGTGCCTCCTCGGCCGGCTGTGGAGGTGGAGGTGTTCTGGGCCTCTGCTCCTCTGCTGCGGAGCTGCTGGAGTTGGCTGCTTCAGTCCCACTCTGGAGGAATTTGCGCAGGTCTTTGAGAGCAGGTTTGAGCAGCTGCACTAAGGCCAGCAGTGCGGCCTGGGTGCCCTCCAGCGCCTGGGCCTGTCTCTCCTGTGCGAAGGCCTGAGCTTCCTGAGAGCGCCGCATCATCTGCAGCAGCTCGTTCTGTCCCTCCATGTGCTGGGCGATCTGACGGATGTGCACGTTGGTGACCCTCTGCTCCTGCAGCAGGCGGGCGGAGTTGAGGGCGATGCGGCTCTTCAGCTCCTGAGGTTTGGCATGACTCTGAGGTGGAGGGGGAGAGGCCGAGGAGGCAGCCAGCATCTCTACTGGAGCCTCAACGGCCGCCACCACGGTGGGAGTTGAGTCACTCACAGTGGTTGTGCAGTACTCCACCACGCCTCCATCCTCCAGGGTGTGGAAAGTAGTTTCAGCTGGAAACAGAACAGAAAAGCTGTTTTAGTTATGAAGTGACTCAAACCCAAACTGAAAATCTAGTTGCATCTACGAACCCCAATTCCAATGAAGTTGGGACGTTGTGTAAAACTTAAATAAAAATAGAATACAATGATTTGCAAATCCTTTTCGACCTATATTCAATTAAATACAGTACAAAGACAAGATAATAATGTTCAAACTGATAAACGTTGTGTTTTTTTGCAAATATTCACTCATTTTGAATTTGATGCCTGCAACACGTTCCAAATAGTCCAACAGTTTAAGAGCAACGTTTCTCAACATACAATTGCAAGGAATTTAGGGAATTCATCATCTAAAGTCCATAATGTCATCAAAAGATTCAGAGAATCCGGAGCAACAACTGCACGTAAGCGGCAAGGCCAAAACCCAACATTGAATGCCGGTGACCTTCGATCCCTCAGGGGGCACTGCATTAAAATCATTATCATTCTGTGAAGGATATTACCATGTGGGCTCAGGAACACTTGGAACACCATTGTCAGTGAACACAGTATGTCACTACATCACAAGTGAAGGTTAAAGCTATACCATGAAAAGCCAAAGCCATATGTCAACATCACCCAGAAACGCCATGGGCTTCTCTGGGCCTGAGCCAGGGGCGGACTGGCCATCGGGACGTTCGGGACGAATCCCGATGGGCCGGTAGCCCGGTACCGGAAGTGGGCCGGTCGGACCACTCGACGCGGCCCACTGCCCCACTCCGATCGGCCCACTTCGGTACAGGTGAAATTGTAATCAGCTTAATGCTTGGCCCACGTCACGACCAGACTGTGGTCAAGCCGGCCCCCACTTCGGAAAACACAGTCAAGCCAGCCCGCACGTTGTATTGCGGTGTGCGAATATCCTATGCATTACGGTAGAGGCATGTAAAAACTGCCTTCAAAATAAAAGCGTCTAAAAAACACACCAAACATATTCATATACTGGAGCTTAAATTAAGAAATATGTACTATAATGTGATCAATAATAATTTAAAACAAACTCCGTATAACTACCACATTATAACTGAGTGAATGTAAAATGTAAGGATACAGTTATGAAGACATATCTGACATTTCCACTGGGTGACTCATTTCAATTGATGTTGACACTATCTCACAACACTCCTAAAATAACATTACTTTCTGAAGCACAATTTAAAATGTATGCGGTTTAAAATCTCAAATTAGATCTATTGTCCATCTATATTTTTATTATTATTTAATGGAAACCGTCCATAATTAAAGAGTCACACAGAAGTCAATCAAATACTTATTTCACTTCAGGGTGATAGCCAGTGGCGTTTTCTCCCGGAGGCCAAGGGAAGCCAGGCTTCCCCTGTTTTTTCGGATTGTAGTTATAACTTAAATAAATAAATAAAAACACTTTGTTTTGTTTCTGTAATTCTACTTTCCTGTGTGTTCCTGCCGGACCGTCTCTCCGTCTCTCCCCCCATTCTCATTGAGTATTTTACAAAGAGTGAAACAGCGCCCCTCTAGATGTCATGGTGAAACAGTAGATTGCATTCACTGTTGCGAGAGGAGGCCAGCAGAATCTAGCTTCCCTTGGTGAAAAAAAATTGAGGGATTAACCAATCAGATGAGGCCCACGTGATGCCCCTGCCAACCTGTGATTGGTCAGGGCCATGCCAGGGGAAGCCAGCCGCCTCTTGCTTCCCTTCAGGGGCGGCTGGCGGCTGGCGATTTGATTGGACACTGCCATCCAATCACATCAACATCAATTTGAATACTGTAACTGTCATCACCGCCGTTAGAAATGATCAAGCAAATGAAGCATTATGGAGGGAGGAGATTTGGCGTACTTAATTAAGCATAACTTCACTAAACTTCCGCTACAGCAGCAACTAAAAATTAAAGCAGATGACAGGACAACGCCCACACTCGAGCTGTGTACACAGAGGAATAAGGGATCTAATCGGACGTTCAATGAGGACAATTATGTCCGCACGGAGTGGCTAACTGGAAGCGCTAAACTTCAGCGTCTATTTTGCTGGCCATGTCTTCTTTTTGACAAGGGTTCGTGCTCCCTGAACAATCCTTGGGCAACTTCAGGATTCATCGACCTTGCCAACCTGTCACGGGCAATTGAGAGGCACGGTAAATCCAAAAATCATATAGATTGTGCTGTGAAATTAAAGCTTTTTGGACGCGTCAGGATTGACGAGGCTCTGGATGTAGCAAGAACCATTAGCACAAAGAAGCACAACGAACAAGTAAAAAAGAACCGGGATATTCTGAGGAAACTCATCATTGCTGCCCTGTACCTTGCACGTCAAGAGCAAGCATTCAGGGGACACAATGAGGCCGCTGGCAGCTCTAACAGGGGCAATTTTGTAGAGCTGGTACGTGCATTTGCAGAGTTTGACACTGCACTCGCGGAGCACTTGGGATCGTCAACAGTCTTCAGTGGTATGTCAAACACCATACAAAATGACATAATTGAGAGCATAGCTCGTTGTATCCAGGATGAGACTGATGAAGAAATACACATTTCTCCTTTCATTGCTGTACAAGTGGATGACACATCAGACATCTCCAATAAGTGCCAACTCACTATCATAATCAGATATGTGAATGAAAAAGGCAGTGTGTGTGAACGTTTCCTCGGCTTTTTTGATGTCAGCTTAGAAAGAGATGCAAAAGCTGTAACATCAGTTGTCATGAGAGCCATCGGGAACTACAGCCCAACAAACAAACTGATTTGTCAGACTTATGACGGAGCAAGCTGCATGAGTGGACAGCACGGTGGCGTTCAGGCTTTAGTGAAAGCACACTGCCCCAATGCGCTATTCATCCACTGCTATGCTCACAAATTAAATTTGGTTTTAGCACAAGGCACAAACAACATCCAAGCAGCCAAACTGTTTTTTGCCAATCTCGATGCCTTCCACAATTTTTTCTCACGTTCATGTAAGAGATCAGCACTACTGTCTGAAGTTGATCGAGCTGTGCGTGTACCAGGGGGTTCTGCTGTGAGGTGGAACTTTAAAAGCTGCGCAGTACACGCCATCCATGAAGGACGCGGGTCGCTCTGTATCGCTTTTGACAGGATAATGACAGAGCCGGGATGGGACAAAGAGACCATTGCACAGAGTGCTTCCTTGAAGCAAAAACTTGAGGATTTTGACTTCACCTTCCTGCTCGGGGTCTTTCAGTCCATTTTCGGCCTCACAGAACCACTCTTCCAGGTTCTGCAAAGCAAGACGGCGGACATAAAAAAATGCCAGGATCGGATCATGAGCACTCTCAGCGCTCTCAAAGCCACAAGAACAGATGAGACATTCAGTCGCATTTACGATGACACGGTCAAAGCAGTCGGCGATCCTGTGCCCCGACGTAAACGACGTCGCCGCGGCTGGGACGACCTGGAGCAAGGGTTTAACCAGCACCAAGAAGGAGACGAGGAAACGGTTGTGTCTTTCCGGCGTCTTTACTTCCAGATTGTTGACGGCATAGTGTTGCACATGACCCAAAGATTTGCAGATATGGAGCACCTGCACTTTTTTCGGATACTGGAACACACATCATTCACATCGTTCTGCAACCCTGATGCATTTCCCAGCAGTGAGCTGGCTCAGCTGATCAACACGTATCCATTCTTTGATGAGCAGAAGTTAAGGAATGAGCTGCACACGCTGTACAACAACAGGTTGTTTCACAAGCCACCAGGAGAGCTGATACAGCTTCTTATTGAGGATGACCTACAGGGCACACTCTCCGAGGTCTACAAGCTGCTCCAGCTCATGCTCACGATACCAGCCACCAGCACATCAGCAGAGCGCTCCTTTTCCTGTCTAAAAAGGATCAAAACGTATCTGAGGAACACGTGTGGACAGGACAGACTTGTCAACCTAGCCACAATATCCATTGACTCTGTTGTTGTGGAGGACCTAAAGGCCGCTGGGAAGTTCTATGACATTGTTATTGACCACTTCGCTACCATGAAAGACAGGAGAATGGCCTTCCTCTTCAAATAGGGTGAGTGAAATGCACACCCCTTTCTCTCTGTGCATACCTGTTGCCTGAACTGCCCGTGTAGCTATGTGTGCAATTTCTGATGTGGTTCTGTTGGTTATTGTGCATTGCTTGCCTGGATTTAGCTGCAGGTGTTCAGTCTGAAGTAGTTGTTTTATTGCAGTTGTTTAATTAGCACAGGGTGCTGCTATCCGAAAATCAGCACCGCAGATAGCATGCCATATAGGGCCCGATCACCTGAATAGATGAGATTGTTTATATTTTTGTGTTACTTTTGGACTACGGACTGAACTAATTACAGAGACGAGGACTGTTGCTGCACTTGCAGTGTGTGTTAGTGTAACAGATGTAAATATGCAGTGGGGTTTATTTAATTTAATTTTGTATAATCACACACATTCTGTGTTTTATATTATTGTATTCTGTGTTCTTCATTTTATTGAATGTTAAATACCTGGCAAGGTCGGAGAGCTGTGCTCAGGAGTTTATTGTTGTGAGGACTTTCATTTCCTTTCTTTGTGATTTTACTTTTTGTATATATTGTGTCCCTCACGTTTCCTCTTCCCTTTTTGTAAACGTTCCAAGCAATGAGAGGAGTCACTGAGGGAAATGTATGTAAAACTGATCATTTTATCTGTTATCAGATTCAGACATTAAACAGAGATCGTCTCAATTTTACGCTGACTCGGCGGGTCTCGTCCATTATCAACACAACGCATACTGATACTTTGATGTGAACGTAAAACTTTAAAGGTCTTCTGATTTAGTTTGTGAATGAATGCTTCTTATTTATTAATTACCGAATCTGCACTGCGCATTGAGCGGCTGGTATTGCATTGGTGGGGGGAGGTTGGCATAAATTAATAAGAAAATGCTTAAATTAATAAGAAAATGCTTAAATTAATAAGACGAGAGAGTTTCAGCTGGAGAGTGCATGCGGACCTGTCGCTTAGATAACAGGCGTGTACAAGTCCTGCATC